GATTACAGAAGTGAGCCACTGTGCCTGGCCCAAATTGGTCCTCAAAGCCCTGCACAGTCTGCTGCCCACCTAACAGCTGGCCTCATCCCACCCACTCTTCCTCCACCACATGCAGTATCCTCCAGCCTCCATGGGTTCCTTGCTCTTCCTTTAGTGAGCCTGGTGCTCTCCTGCCTCAGGGTCTTTGTCCCTGCTGTTCCCTCTGCCTGAAAGCTCTTCTCCCACAAGCCCATGTGTCCCGCTCCTTCACCTTCTTCAGATCTCTACTCAAATGTCACCTCCTCAATGAAGCCTTCTCTGCCCACCCATTTAAAACTGTAGCCACTCCCACTCTGTACCCTACCCCTCCTCCTCCTCCTTGCTATATTTTTCTCCATGGCACTTAACGTCATCTAACATATTGTATGTCTTCTTTTTCTTGTCTGTCTCCCAATCTTAGCCCATGGAGTCAGGAATTTGTGTCTGTTTTGCCCAATGCTATATCCCATGTGCCGGACACACACTAAGTGATCAGTACATGAGAATCTGCCTTCAGTGTCTTTTTGGTGTAAAGCACTGAGATAACGGCTTTATGTCTGATCACATCTTTCCATCTACCCTGCCCCTGCCAGGGGGTCCAGGCAAGGGAACACTTCTCCACTGGAGCCTGCTCTGGCTCCATCCTAGGCTGCCCAGTCTGGCCCCCTTCCTTCTATCTCCCCTTTGATGCCCATGTCACTTCTCTGCTTAAAATCCTCCAATAATTCAATGACTCCACTTTGTAACCTGCACACCAGGGTTTTCCATACTGTAGGTCACAACTAGTTAGTGGGCTGTGAAATCAGCCAGCAAGTTTCAATAGAATAGAGTAGAATAGATCAGACTCTGCACGTGGTATAGACATACTGTAGACTAAGGCATGGGATAGGTGAAGCGTGGTTTCATGAAACTTTTGTTGTAGTTTTATATGCATTTGTAAAACCCTGTACTACACAGTCCTGCTTCGCCTGAATCCCATGCACTGAGTGGATGGATGATATTAATAGCTGTTCAGATTCATTTCTTGGTTAAGACCTGTGCCAAGTGGTTTTACCTGCTTTTGCTCAAGGACTTTGTCTACATTTCAAGGATGACCCTGATTCCCATTTGACATATGGTAATAATTGAGGCTTAAACTAGAGAAAGCTGGTACCTGAGGTCACTGGGCAGAGAAGGCTGAGGCTTGAGCCCCAACTAGCCTCCCTCCTGAGCCTGCTCACATGCCACTTACCCTGCCCTTCCCAATCAGCTGCCCACCTACACTCAGGTGTGCCGGCCCATCCTCAAAGCCCCACAGAAGCCTTTCAGCCTCCATTCTAGAAAACTGAGAACTTTCATCCCAGAAAACAAAACCTAGAAAGCATTTCAAAGCAACTCTTACCCTCCCACCCTTCTCCAAACTCCCCTTTTTGAGACATAAGAGACAGAAATGGCTAGGGACGTGATTTTTCCTGGATTCAAATCCCATCCTTCAAAAATTTAGAGGTATGTGACCCCAGGCAAGCTCTCTGGGCCTCGGTTTTCTTTTTCTGCAAAATGGGGATAATAATAGTAACCTACTCATAAGGCCACGCTTAAATAGGTCAGAATACATGCGAAGTTCTTAGAATAGTTGCCACACCTCTTGGTTAGGGAATCTTCCCAACAACTCTATGTAATTGGACTACTATTCACCCCCCAGTTTTGTCACAGAAGGGAGGACCCTTACACAGCTGGGAAGTGGGAAAGTCAAAATTTGGATGTGGATCTGCCTGGACTTTTCCAAGTCACAATAGTCCTTTAAAGGGGTATTATAATAGTATCAATAGCAACAGCAGCAACATTTTCCAAATTAAGGAAAGTGAGACCCAGAGAGGGTAAGGACACCTCCAAGTCACACAGCATGTAAATGACAAACCGACAGCCAGAATTCAAACCCGGGCTGTGTGTGTCCAGCAGCAGGTTGACACTCGCTCCAATGAGCCACTCCACACAGCTCTGCCAGGGTGGAAAGAAAGACTTGGTTTGGGGGCTGCCACTGCCCCAGCTTGGTGTGGGTCTCTCTGGTGTCCCTGACTCTGGCCCCTATCCAGCCTAGGATGGCTACTCCCCTGAAAGTTTGAGGTAGGGGCACAACTGTGGCATGGATGATGGCAGAGGGTACAGCAGACCCCTCCACCAGCCTTTGATTGGGGCCCTGCAATCCCCCAGGATTTGTTGCTTGGAAAGCTGACGTTGGGTTGCTATGGCAATGGGTTTGGGGCGGTTGCCATAGCAGCAGAACTAGCCTGAGTTTAAAAATATCTAGCAGGAGGTTTGTGTTTGTGTGTGAGTGTGAGTGCGTGACCGACCATGGTGTTGTGTGTGTGTCCAAACGGGAGGGTTGTGGGGAGAGTGTGGAGTTGGGACTGCAGGCGTGACTCGGGGTTGGGGGCTGAGCAGCACACAGCATTCCATGTGTGTTGTGTGTCACTGAGTGGCCTGTGAGGTCTGGTCATTGTGTGTTAGACTGTGTGGGCTGTGTATCTAAATGTGTGCATTTACTCGATTTGTGAGCAAAGCATGACTGAGTCTGTTCTTCAATCTATACATCATATGTCACTGATAAGTATGTCTTATATAACATAGACCATGTATATCCTGTAGCTTTGATTATATATTTGTAACTTCTCAGAGTGTTTGAGTCCAAGTGTGTCTCATGGCACACAGTACGCCTGGGACACACTTGGATATTAGATGTAAATACCTGGATATTAGATGTGTGTCTACCTGTGTATGAGAGCCTGTGTTGTGGCTTTGTATTTGCAAGACTGAATGTGCATTATGGGTGAGAGTGTGTGTGTGCGTGTGTGTGTGTGTGTGCACATGAATGCCTAACCCCATGAGTGTGTGTATTGTGTCCATTCACCTGTTTATCTGCAGCAGGACCTAAGTGACTGAGTGTGTGCGCGAGAGGGGAAGAAATTTCACACCCAACTTCATGGATGTTGGGACATATACCTGTGTGATGGGAGTATGTAACTCAAAAGGTCCAAGAAGGTATGGATCTCAGCCTGACCCCAGAATCTCCCTGCATCCCTCTGCCTCTTTCTTGTCTCCATGGCAACCAGCTCCTCAGCTCCCAACAGGAAGATGGAGGGGGAGGATCCAGACTGCAGTGGACCACAACCCCTTCCAGTCCCCCTTGGCTCTGGGGACAATGGCAGGGAGGGGACAGATGGGCAGCCACCCCATCCACCCCAGGCCATCTGCTATCCCCCCCATCCTGGGGACCTGAGAGCATGGCAAGGGAAGGGCAGAGAGCAGCATGGAGCAGATCCCACTGCTGCAGATCCCCCAGTGACCACAATTACCCCCATCCAAATCCCCTCTGATCTAATCTTGCCTCTGGCTGACCTGGGAAGGAAAGAATCCCTGGAGACCAGGAATCCAGGAAGAAGAAAATTCATATATCAGGGAACATGGAATGTTAGCAATGGTTCGTTCCAAGAAAGGGCCCCCGACTTCCAGTGATTTTGGGCTCTGAAATTAGAATTGTCCTGTGTTCAAATTCCAGTTTCTCTCTGTCAAACTGTGTGCCTTTGAACAAGCCACATTCTTTTCTCGGGCCTCCACTTCATCTTCTGAAAATTAGGTTTTCTTAATGACGTGAATAGCAGTACTCCACAAGGGCCAAGAGTGTTTCATTCCCTGCTGTATCCTAGTGTCTGGGACAGTGCCTGGCATTTGCTTGGTAGGCTATAAGTACTGATCGAATTGAGAGTGTGTGCTGAGCTCAGTGCTTCGTGCTTCAACTCAGGTGCTTAATCCAATCCCCCGAGCTTTTGCAGCAGCCCTGTGTGATTCTTCAAAGGATAAATGAAAGATTTGAAGGGGAACTTCCCAACTGTCAGGGCTGGAAGACACGTGAAGTGAGATTTCTTTTCTTGAACAAATGATGTCAGATCCCTCAGGCTGTTTCTGCAACTGTAAAGTGGGGATAATAAGAGTACCTACCTCACAGAGTTGGTCATTCTGGAGTATAAATACGATAACATCTATGAAGCCCTTAATTGGAACAGGACCTGGCACATAATAAGTACTCAATAAACGTTTATTAAAGGCAAGAAGTGAGAAAGATTTAAAAGAGCCCAGAGTCCTGATTGTAACCTGGATGAGTGCGGTCCTTCTCTTTGAGGCTTGAAGGGGAGTGGCCAACCCTTGGGGACTTGGTCCAGGCTTCAAGGGTGGACCAATGGGGGTGCCGAAGGGCGTGGTCCTGACCGGTATGGGCGTGACCTTGCGCCGGTGGGAGGGGCCAGGCCGCTGTGGGAGCCTCCGGGAAGAAGATGCTCGGGCCAGCAACCACCACCAGCCCAGTAGCCGCTGCCGCCCGCGCCCGCCGCCCCCTTTGCCCCCACTAGCGGCTGCCTCCGCCTCCCACCTCCGACCACGCTCCTCCGGCCCCCCGCCCCAAGCAGGGTTTGGGGGGCTCGGCCTTTTGCTCCGGGGAGCAAAAAAGGGGGATCCCGTCCCCAGTGGCGCGGCCAGTCCCCGGCTTCTGTGATCTTGAGAGAGACCCCACCCCTCAGTTCTTTCCAGGCCCTATCGGAGACCCCCTTTGCCCTCCTATCCTGCTCACATCCGCTCTACAGGCTCTGTCAGCCCCCCGAGAACCGGCTCCCTCCCTCCTTCCCTCTCTGGGGTTCCCCCTCCCC